ATAATTCAGTATAATTGTCAATTTTTTGATTAAAAGGAATTTCTTGATAGAAATCATTTACTACTACGTTGCTGATTTAACGTAATTCATAGTCGGTTGCATTCGTCCTTGACGTTGATTTTTGCACAGTGTATGGAATTGAAAAATCGTTTGTAACTTCGAAACTGTTAATTTTCCCACCCTGGTTTACTAGAAATTGTTTTTTCTTTTTATTCACACTGTATGTTTCAAAAACTCGAACGTCTTCTCGTTGATAACCAACGTCATTGATAACCAAGTTTCTGATGGAGACTTCAACATAAAACAACAATAAACCCGATAAAAACGTTTCAAACGATTTATTAAGTTTTACCTTTGAATCGACTCACAAGATAAATGGATAAAAACGAGACGGAAAGGTGGGGGTGGAAGCGGACTAGGAGGGATTACGTACAAAAAGATACAAATCGGTGCGTCAGAAAATAATATGGCGTTCATTAAGCAAGCGGGGCTTCCTTCCACCAGACGTCCGTGAAATTGCCGGAGATCTGAGCTTCCAGAAGAAAAATAATAATCCCTGCTTCTTTTTTTGCTCCTCTCCCTCCCTCCCTTCTCTTTCTCTTTAATCAAGACGTGTCTAATGCACTTCCGCAAGAAACTCGCCACGCCAGGAAAGGACTATCTTTCACGAGAGGACAGAGAGAACTTATTTCGCAGGAGGCACGACGAGAGAAATTCGCTCGCCTAAGCTCCGAAAAGACGACGCAGGATCCCGCGCGCGCGACTAGAAACCAATTCCAAGCCTGCCCGTTTCACCGGCAGCACGCTTTTAGGTCAAGTGGACTCGGACACCGGAAGCTGGATATCTATGTAGCTGTCCCTCGTTATCCGGGATAAGGCTAAGGGGAGGATTCGATACGTAAACGGAATTTCCTCCTCGAATTTGATCGTTCTTTCGTGACTTTGAACTTTGTGATCAACTGTCTCAGTCTCATTCTTTGACATTTATCATATGTCGAAAGCAATATTTGTTTATCAGAGTGAATATTAAAAATGACAGAATTAAGGATTAAAAAAGCAGAATTAAGGAAATTTCTTTATGGCCTTCTAAACAGTGTAGAAGGACTTCATAGTATCTTGATAACAGACAGAGATGGAGTTGTATCTGCGGCTGATGATAATGAACACCTGAATTAGCCATGAGAGCAAGCTTCTTATCAACATATGGAATGGCAACAGATCAAGGAAGCAAATTAGGATTAGGAAAAAATAAAACAATTATACGCATGTATAGTAGTTATCAGGTAGTTCAAATGAACAAATTACCTCTAGTAATTAGTCTTATATTGCTAGTCATAACTAAGTAAAATAGATCCAATCTTGAGTAATTTAAAAAATGCAGTAGCAGAAGCCTGATGTGCGTTATGGAAATTCTTGAAAAGCTATTCTAAGATGATTTATAACAACGGAGCCATTAGTATATATTTTTTCATTTAGAAAAAAGTTATATTCTTTTATAATTATGCTTTCTTTTGTCAACATTTTTATATAATATCTTAAATACTTATAAAGAAAACTACTACTAAAGAAAATTTTCTCGTCATTCATAAAGAAGAGAGTGAATAATGATTTTCTTATCACCAATTTCTCTTTTATCGTGATAGGAAATTTTCGAAGAAGTGAAGAAAAAAACTGCAATGTTCAATGCTCTGTAATGAAAAATATAATAAAATATAAGAAAGAAGAAATCTCAAAGATGTTATTATGTATATTATTGGGACAACGACAGGAATGTAGACTAATTGTTTCGTTCAGTATGATACTGTTTGAGTAGGTCAACGTGTAAAGCTACTTCGCACTGATAAATTATTTCTCTTCTCTTTTCTTTTGAGATGAACAAACGACACAATGCTTTTGAGCTTTTCTTGATGGAAGTTGCTTCTATCGCTATTGGAAAATATTATGTTAACAGTAAACTTTGCCTTTATGACATATAATGGGCAATTTTGTAACTTTCTGTATTCTCTTTAATATTTTACGTTTTTTTTCTTTTTTTTTTAATATATATATATATATTATCTTCAATAATTTCTTCAGCTGATTTCTGTCCGAAGGCGTGAAAATAGTCTTGAAAAATAATATAAAATCGAGCAAATAGGTTAAGAGAAACTGAGGAAATTCTCTTCCCAATTTTTTCCATTTCACACTCTGATTATTGTAAATACTCGTGCAAGAAATTGCTAAATGTGTAATTAATTAAAGGCGACTGATCGTCTGTCGTAATAGAGAAAAATGAGAGATTCGTAGAAGACGAAATCATTATTTATCTACACTTTGTACCAAGTCTTTGTTCCATTATGATGATTTATGGTCGTTTTGCACAATGGCAAAATAATTTATTTAAGACGCGCGATATATCTACGAGCGTACGACACGTCCATTACGAGCTGCTAATTATATATTAAATACGTACAATTGTTAGATTCGACGTTAATTCAGCCGTCGCTCGATATCATGCATAATCAATAGCCGGTCAAATAAATTCCTACGCGTTCTG